TTTTTTTTTTTTTTTTTTTTTTTTTTTTTTTTTTTTTTTTTTAAAAGATGACCTATTGAGGTCCCTTCCAGTCCTACACTTCTATGATTTTATGTTTAGAAGGGTCTTTGGGGCAGACTTGAAAGTAACACTCTTGCAGGGAAAAAACAAACAAACAACAAAAACAAAAACAAAAACAGAACACTCTGCATCCATAGGAAGCCCCTGTTCTCCCACCCAGTGTTCCCCAATGCTCTGAATGGGAAGGAGAGGAGAAGAAATGCAAAAAACAGTTAATACATCCTGTAGCTATTTTAATTTGAGTATCTTCCACAAGATCAGAGAGGGATGAAATCTCTCCACAACGGCCAGCCCTCATTTTGTGCTGGACTTCACCCCTTTGGGCCACGCAGAGTCTAAACACCTTTAAAAATCTGGGCCTAGCTGCCTAAGTCTCATTGCAAGTCATGGGACTTAGGGGTCAATCTTCAGAGTCTAAATCCCATTTTTAATTTTTTCTAATATCAGGTTAATATCAGATATTCCAACAGCATTGTGTAAATACATGTATGTATATAGACTAGACATGCAGTGCAACAATACACTACCTGTCCCACAGATATCCGTAACTCAAATTGTTCAGCAGTAACAAAAAATGTATTGTAAATGTTATTCAATACTAAATAAAACATACCATGTTTACAGGATGTTTAGAAATGCTGAAATGGATGATTTCCATTCCAACTAGGTAGGTCACACAAATCCATCTACTCTCCCTGGCTAATCAAAATTATTCTTCAGATTCAGAACTTCACTTAAGCATGCCTGCCTTATACACCTGTCTGGTGTTTGCTCAGAACTCATGGAGGGACACCATACCAAAGGTTAGCGTTCAATCAAGTAAATGTCTGTTCTGGTCCAACCTTATTAATTCAGTTTTTCCCTTATCACACTTAAAAGCTATTCTTGCAATAATTCTAGCTGTTTTATTGTTGTATAAACTTGCTTTGGATAATATGGATCCATCTGGAAATTGTGCATATTTGGGTTTTTGCTTCTGTTTTTTAATTTGAAATGACAGGCTAGTACAAGGGTGGGCAAACTACAGCCCGG